AGTCAGTCACAGGTTTAAAAACTATATAGTCCTAAAAAAATCAAAGAAGGGGAGTGAATGAGATAGCAACATAATATGATAAACTATTATAACAACAAAACAACAGCTCGAACTCCAGGGACATGAAGAACTTACTGAATGAATGTTTGGCCCTGAAGTAGAACCAAGAAAAAACTGGCGAGGTGGGACTCAGGACAACAGTTTTGAAAATACTGCAAGTTGGTTTTAAATTCTATATTTGGACTGTAGTTAGAGAGTCTACATTGCACACAGAGTTGATGCAATATTCTCATTCCAAGACAACACTCTGGAACCTTACTGGTTAGACATATGTATTCATTTACTTTAAAAACCTCAGTCTCACTGTGAATGACACAGGACACTACTGTAGTATATTCATTACTGCTACTTTTTTTTGATTTACCTAATCTTTTTTTTTTTTTTTTTTAAATCACCAGAGAAAAATCTCAGGTCTCTACATTTCTTTCTTTAAGGAATGATGCAAGTATATGGCCCCAAACACAGATAAAGTTAACATGCCCCTCCAGTATCTCCCATTATCAGTTGAAGGCTGTGCACTTCCTATTTCACAATGCTAACATGGTTTTCTTTTTTGAGCTCAGTGTATGAACTAAGCTTAAGCTTTTCCTCTACAAAGATATGGAGAAGATAATCAACGGAAGCTGCGGGCAGTGGGCAAGAAGGAAGGTGTATGCCTTCCAATATCTCTTTACCTCTGTCCCAAAGCCACTACAGGTACCCAGGGATAGTGTAGGATGATTTTGAGAAGTACAACACAGTTTAACTACCATGAAGGCCCTCAAATTGGAGGCCATAGACGGTAGAAGCCCAGGTCTCCTCATATGGCCCTGACTCTGGGCACTGACCTTGCTGGTCCTCATTTTCCACTTTTGCAAAAGAAGATAATAAAGTAAAGTAACTACTACATAAGGTCACTCTGAGAATTAAAGTAAACATTAAATGTAGAATTCTTAGCATGGCAGCCAGCATGCATTAAGTCCTCTGTGTTAGTGATTCATTCCAATTCTTATTCAAGAGGCACAGCCAGTAAGGACTAGAGATGTGGTAGATAAATCACATCCGGAGCTGTCTTCCTCCCATACCCACCCCGTGCTCCTGAACTCAGCAGTGTCCCAGCCTTGAGGGACTGTCTCTGCCATACCACATATGAAGTGCATAACCAGAAGTTTGTGCAACCCTGCCACACATAGCTCAGAGATGTGAGCTATGTGGTGAGATTTCCGGAAAAAATCAGCTCCAGACTCCCCACATCCAAAGTGAAAATTATTCAAAATCATAGGTGACCTAAGAGAGTGAATGATCCTCACACACTTATGTCCATATTAAAAGTAGTTTGCATTTATTCTCCATGTTCACAGCAGGAGAAAGATGGATGTCAGAGGAAAGTGATTCAGAAATGTGGAGGTGGCCACAGATAAGCCAATAAGTAGATGACATAGACAAGAAATAAAACAGAGTTATATGTAAAGTCTGAACAATTGTTAAAAGTATATTATGGATCCACCTGAAATCTCAAAAGGGATCAGGGAAGATTTTACTATGGAATAATCTAAAGCAGAAGAGCATTTGAAACCTAAGTATTGACTGAGTAAAAGGGGAATCTCTGTACTCTGAAAACGAAGGCTAGATGTGAAGCAGGAGCTAGTTCAGAGATGAAGAAAGCCTCTGCTGACCGCAGGCAACACTGCATCTGTGGCAGTGCATCCCCAAGCACACAGAGACATCCTCTTGGAAGCTCCCTCCTGGAGAAGTTTCCTTTCTTTTTTATTTTATTTTATTTTTAAATTGGGCTATAGTTGGCATATATCATTATATTAATTTCAGATGTACAACTTACTCCATTGATATTTGTATATATTGAGAAATGTTCACCACGATAAGTCTAGTTAACATCCAAACAGTTAACTGATTTTTTTTTTTCTTGTGAGGAGAACTTGTCAGGTCTATTCTCTTAGCAACTTGCAAACATACAACACAGTATTACTAACTACAATCACTGTACAGAGAGTTTTGATTTTTGAAAAAGAAAGCCAACTTGGAACATCCGTCTTAAAGTATTCCCAGTGCAGGATGCATTAGATCACAGGTGTAATTAAATACTGAATCAGTCTGTGAGTAATCTGTAGTCTATGTGCCTTATACAGCAATCTGATTTTAATATCTAGAAAAGAGAGTCAATATTTACCAAGGGCCAGAACACTATGTAGTATCTGGATGGTAACCTAAGAAAGCCACAAAAACCCTGGCCTATCAATCATTCCCAGCCTCTGGCAGTCAGGTGAAATATCCAACAGGCCATGGGCCTGGTTCTGACTGTGCTGCTTGCAAAGGCCCCTGACACTGCTCTGCATGACACAGATGTGAAGGCTGAGGAGCAACATGCTTATTGAAGGTAAGGTACAAATTATTCCCAGTTCTGAACAGACAGTACCATGTATGGCAAAGTGCCAGAGCTTTTTCTCTGTTTGTCCCTGGGAGTTCTCTGGCTGGGACCAAAGTCACACTCAGGGATGACATGAGTGCTTGGGAGCCCAGCCTCCACTGTGAGTTGTAACCTAATACCAATTTTATTTTCTTGACTTGCCATATAGACCAATAAGGAAGTAAAAAGCCACAGAGAAAATTCAAACTGAAGGAGAGCAACTCCTGTACCTGCTGGGGCCTCACCCACCTGCAATGGTGGGTGAGTTGTTAAATATTAATTATAATAATGGCAATAACACCCCATCACAGAGAATGATGTTGTGAGTGCTGTTAGTACTTTGCATACTTTAGTATGTAACTTCAATGTCCTCATCTGTAAATTGAAGGTAATACTGCACCTATTTCATTATGCTGTAATGAGGATGAGAGATGGAGAGATGGAGACATCACTGGGCAAGTTGAGGCAGCAGGGTTTAAAAGAACAGGGTTTGAAACAACAGACACAGGTTAAGATCCCAAATCTGATTTCTACTGTTTGATCTTGCTGGGTTTGTTTCCCCATCTGCAAACTGGGCACGGAGTCACCTACCTCAGTGAGGAAATGCAGGCAATGGGAAGCCAGACACCACCCAGTGTCTGCATCCCTGGGAGGTGTCTAGCTAATGTTTGTACTCTATTCCCTATTATACCTGTGCATTGATTCTGTTTACCTCCATCAGCAGTCATTCACTGTCATCCAGACTGGCCACTTCCTCTCCTAACCATGATCATTTTACACAGTTTCATGTGCCAGACACCGGTTCAATAGCTTCATAGCTCCCCATGTTAGGTACCTGCCCAGGTTCAAATAGATGGTAACAGGGCCACCAGTCCACCTCCTTAGTCTGTTTTCCTAACAACAGTGTAGCAATGCTTGGGGGGTGGGGTGGGGAAGGTTGACCTGCTTTGAGACCCCAAGCATGGATGTAACCTCTTTCAGAGATAAGCCACGGGCACTCTTATGAACACAACGTGTTGACTAACTTTTCAACCGTTGGACTAATATTTCATATATTTTCTAAGACTTCTTTAAAAAATTATCATATGTTTTTAAATGAGGTTCCTGTAACTAGCTCATCTAGTTCTATATGCTGGAATACCATAAATAAATGTGCCTTTCCCCCTTCAAAAGATTACCTAAATAAGTCTTACATTAAAATGTACCCATGAGTTTTTAATGAAACAATTATAAGTCCAAATTATATGTGTGTGTGTGTATACACACACATATGGAGTCTTAATATTATATTTGGCTAAACTAGTGACTTCTATATTAAATCATCTGGATAGTCTCTTTATTTCTAATCTTCACTGTCTTGGTCACCACAGTACTATACAGTATTTCAAAGAATCCTTTTACAAATTTAATCAGCTTAAACATTACACATCAATGATGATGATCAACTGGTCTGCTTAAAAGGAATCTCTAGCAGAGAGATGAGAAAGAAAGGTTAAAAAATTCTATTCTTCAAAATAGGGAAGCTATCTATAAATCACGCTCTTTGTTTATTAAGACAATTAAGCCCATCAGTGCACTTAACTTTCAGACTCAACAATTGTCTGGCATGACCAATTTCCACTTTTCCTAAAACAAAGGGGATATGTTCAAAGGGATCTTTTGCAAACTCTCTGCACAATGCATGCTATTTTAAAACATGACTTGTGTGTCTAATTCCTGGAACTGTCTTGAAAAATATACTGATTTTTCTTCGAATGCTCCCTATTAGGAGAAGACATTCCAATCTGAAGAGTGCACTTTGTTTCGGAACGCAGGCCGCTATATTATGTCAACGTTTTCATTAACTTCTGTTCAAACTGGACATTAAACAAATGGAATGGGGAGTCACAGCTGCAGCCCTTGCAGAGACAGAGTTATCCAGACCTTACATAACAGGCGCACGTCAGGGTGAAAACTCAAGGGTCATCCGTATTCTTTTTCTTTGAGACTTCCCCACGTTCTTAAAGTGTATGAAATCACACACACAGATCAGATTTCTCTTGTTATTCGCCTTATAGTACAAAACGCTGGGTTGACATATAAGTTGTTTTTCCACCACTAAAGGACTGGGTAAGTTCAATCATGGAGACGTTGGCAACTTCTGCCTAGGGAAAGACTGAAGTGAGATGCGCGGGAAGCCTGGAAGCTTAGCTCCCACCCCAAAGATCTATGGTCCCCAGGAATATTACAGGAGGCGCTCCTCCAAAGAATTAAGACAGAGGTGAGCTGATCCTGCGCCTTCTGCCCCTTTCCCCCGCGCGCACAGTGGAGACGCTCGGCGTGTGCCGTAGGCAGCGGGCGCAGTGCCCTGGGAGCACCTGTCCTCGCACTGCACGTTTCCAGCTGGCGCGTCCGCAGAGGCTGGAGCCAGCCCGCTGGACCGCGGCCTCTCCCGCCTGCGTGCCAGCGTCTGGCACCTTGACCTCCTCAAGCTGGCGCCCAGCTAACAAGAGGTGCCACCCCAGCTTCCCACAACACGAAGACGATAAAAACCAACCTCTCCTCCTCACGGCTCCCTCCAACTTCAGAAACTGCAGTCAACTCGCTGGGACGCAGCAGACAGGGCGCCTTCTTGGAGATCGCGCTCAGCTGCGCGCGGCCGGTAGCCCAGCTCTGCACCAGCCGCCTCAGCTCCGCGGTGCCCCGGCAGCTGCGGCTGCGGCGGCTGCGGCAGCTGCTGCGGCTGCACCGGGCCGGGAGGGCGCGCTTCGAGTCCCTGGTGCGTGTCTCCGTCTCTGCTCGTAGGGAATCGCAGTTGCGCAGGGAACGCGGCCAGACAGAAGCCGAGGCACTGTTGCCGCAGAGCCGTCAGCCTGCTCCCAGGCTCGGTCACATCGTGAGCTCGCAGGCCGGCCGAGGAGGACGAAAGGAGGGAGGGAGCTGCAGTCCCCAACCACCGCGGTGCAGCGGAGAATGACAGCCTCGAGGAGCAGAGGCTGGGAGGCGCGGGCGCGAGTGCGCATGAGCCAGGCCCGCGGGCGGCGCGTCACCAGGGGGGCGGGCAGGGGCAGGGCGACTTGGAGAAGGGGCGGAGACGGGGAGGGACAAGGGCTGGGCTCGGTTCGAGGGGCGCTGGAGCGCACCAACTGTGGCGCCCTGCCTACTTGCTACTGGTACCGAAAGTTATCCCGCTCGGATTTGGTGAGTTTAAAACTCTGTACTTGAACTTCGTTTGTCCCACGAGCCTATTGTCCCTTAAAAAAACACTGTTTAATTGGTCCTTAGGGCCTGACCGGGTCTACAAAAGCCAATGTAACTCAAATTATAGCTTCACCTTAAGAAGCTGGAATTTAGGAACTGGTGAAAAGGGTGATGGGATTAAGAAATACAAATTGGGCAGTAAATGAACATGTATAAAAGACCCATGAACAAAGCCAAAGGGGGGTGGGTAGGGCAGGGGAAAGTGGTGGTGGGATAGAGACAACTGTATTCGAACATTAACAAAATTTTGTTTTAAAAAAAGAAATACAAATTGGTAGTTAAAAAATAGTCGCAGGGCTGTAAAGTGCAGCACAGATAATGTAGTCAGTAATATGGTAATAACTATGTATGGTGTCAGATTGGTACTAGACTTATTGGAGTGATCATTTAGTGAGTTATATAATGTCTAATCACTGTGTTGTACATCTGAAACTAAATAATACTTTATGTCAACTGTAATTAAAAATTTAAAATTACTTAAAGTTGAAAAAAACTGGAATTTAGAAGACAATGTTCGTCTGTCTTGGCTGGTCATTATAATTTCAGAAGCTTGTAAGAGTCATTTTCATTGGCCACACCCTTAGAATCTTTGGGTGGGGCACAGGTGTCAGTAGAATGTAAAGCTTCCCAGGTAATACAACGGAGCATCTGAAGCCTTAATATGTGACAGAATCTTCTAAGGATTTTCTTAAATTGCAGGTTCTGGTCCAGTAGATCTGGGTGTAAGGGGGGAATCTTCATCTCTAACATGCTCTCAGATGATGTCAGCTCTGCAGCTCAGGACCACCCTACCCTTGCTTCTGAAGTGTGTGGTCTGGAATCTGGAGCAGAACTCTGAAACGCTGGTCTGCGGAAGATCACCTGAATAGCTTTTTTAAATGGCAGAGCACATGCCACACACAGTGATCACTGTGGTTCAGACTCTGGGCAAAGGTGGGGCTCTGGAATTCCATTCTAGGTGAGTTTGATATGGGTGTTTTTTGGACCAAACTTCAGGATACGAAATCAGCCACCTGGCCTTGGAAATGAACTTTTGCAGTGAGAAGAGCCAAGCCAGGTGTAGAACAAGGACCAGCCCCATGTCCAGTAGCTACTTTATCTGGCTAGTCAAAATTTTCTGCAATTACTATACATCACTTAGTAGACAAATATATAAATTATATTAAACATACATCTATTCATTACCCATATCATTAAAGGGAACTTAAAGTTGAGTAGGGAAGAAGGCTGATTAGGAGGAGAATAATAGAGCAGGGCTGTCGGCCTGTTGGACAATACGCAATGCAGAGAGAAGAGTATGTAAGAAGAATCCAAACTTGGACTCAACCTGGAGCCTAGAAAAGCACCTTGGAGAAGATGATCCAGTGCCCAGGTGGGGCCTTCTCCTCTTAGCATAGTGTAAAAAACTCAGGTGTCCAAGATCTTATGAATGCATGGCACATCACATACATTACTTCAGTGATATCTCACAATAGTCTTATAAATTGGATTTAAAAGCTATTGTGCCCATTTTACAGATTTTTACAGAAAAAGAATGCTGTGGACATGAGAATCCTTGACTTGCAAGGACAGTGGAACTTGAGCAGGAGTGCAGATCTGGATGTTGGGTAAGGCTTCTGTAAGTAAGGAAAACAGTGACTTAGATCTTACAAAGAAAATGGTTTCTGTGTCTATTATTCACATCCTTAAAGGCTGTGCCTATGTTTTGAGTGAGAAATGCTTTCGTTTATGTAGGAAGAAATGCCTTTTGTTTCTTCACCCCAGTTTTGCAACTCCATGAATTGAAGGGCAAAATGTCATTCTAAGAGCGTCCCAGTCCTAGGACTTCCTACTGCAGGCTTCACAGAGAGTTTCAGAGAGCAGCAGTCAGACTTTCTAGTGTCAAATTTAATTAATCACCATCTTCATTTGATCCTGGCCCAGAGAAAACAAATGACGTAGACAAAAATCCAGATAAAAATCTCCGTCCTCTGTCCTTTTCCTCTGCTTTCCTTTCCTCAAATGACATACTGGAGACTATTTCACTTTTCTGAACTTTTCTTTTTTAAAAATTTTTGTACTTAAAAAATATATTTCATTTATTTATTTTAGACAGAGGGGAAAAGAGAGAGGGAGAGAAACATAAATGTGTGATTGCCTCTCACGCGCCCCCTACTGGAGATCTGGCCCGCAACCCAGGCATGTGCCCCAACAACCTTTTGGTTCACAGGTCAGCACTCAATCCACTGAGCCACACCAGCCAGGGTACTTTTCTGAACTTTTCATACCAAGGTTTGCCATTAGTAAATTAAAACCAAATATACTTCAAAGCTTCCCCTTGATGCAGAAGCACAATGTGAGAAACAATTCTCATGTGTGCAGTAAATATCATGGACTATATCCCCAACCTGAGTAAAGTTTTGGAAGAAAACGTATGATATTTCTATCCAGTCTCCTAATTGACAGGTTTGTCTGGGAATGCTGTACTACGAACTATGCCCTACCCATGTTTACCATTGTATCCAGGGTAACTCTTCCATTAGAGCTGCTCTTCCATGTGATTATGAAATTAAAAAATAAATGAATGAATGACTAATTAAGAGAACCTCTGTAGATGAGGGAACAGGTTGTGGCATTTCATTAGTTTTTAATAAGAAAAAAATAAAAAACAATGGTAATATAATAGATCTGTTGGGACTTTTGGGAGAAAAAAAATGAGCCTATTTGCTTAGGTGTTAGAAGCTCCAATGAGACTATCTGTACAGTATATGAACTCATTTGCATATTGACCTTAAGAGATCCTGGATTGAATTACATAAAAAGTGAATTAGTATATTCCACTGCCATTGTATTTTGAGCCACTATTATTTGCATTAAACACACGAAATGTGTGCTATTGAATTGATATTGACTTTGTCAATATTGACTGGATCTGATTTAGAATTTGTTTCTCATTAGCCACTATTGAGAAACAACTATTGTCCGGCAGGAATAGCAGCTACATTGTTTTTACCTCTGAGGTCTGTATTGCTTGTGGGTCCTCAAAACCTGCTCTTTTGGCTGAGAATTTCTTTATTCAGTGCCTCTGAAGGTCCCAGAGTGAGAATGGCAGTTATACAGATGCTATCGACTCCATTGAACCTATTCTGTGCTCATTCAGGAAGCTGTACCTTGAAGAGATTTTTATTAAATTCTTTCTGCTGAATGTAGCAGGCTTATCACTGAGTGGAGGTTTTGGCCTTCAAATTCTCCTTATTTGTTAATTACATTTTTTCATCCATTTCACGCAAAAAGATTCTTTGACATGAAAATCTTCCAACTTTTGCCTTCCTTATGATTATAACCCAGATAAGGGAACTGCCAGGAGCCCAAGAAGATTGGCAAGACCAAGACAGGAGTGGGGACATAGAATTTGATTTCACCAGGGAGAAAATAAGGTTGCCCTGAAAATTAATACACGTTGAGCTGGGTTTTGGGTGTGGCTTATTACATAGTTCACCTTATTTGAACACGTGCAGGTGCCAGTAACTTCACTGGCAGTAGCATAACCAAATCCGTGGTGGGATGTGGGGTTGGGAGGGAGAAGAGAGAGACTGACCTTCTGTCCTTTTCTCCTGGGAAACTTTTCAACACTATTAGAAAGCCTTGTTCCTAGTACCCTAACATAGGACACCTACAAGTTACCTGAATTTTAAATGTTTACTTCTAAATTGTTTTGAATAATTCATTTAGAACTTAGAGCAGTCAATATAATGAATGACCTTGATTTTCAAGCTATCTCCAAAATATTTTTAGAGACCCACAAGTAAGTTAATATAGTGTTTACTGTAACTCCAGGCCTGCAAAAAGGTGCTGAGGAGGATTCTGGCCTATTGGCAAGAGTAGGTTTGGGATAGAAAAGATGGAATTTAGGGCCTGAAGAGGAAGACTGGCTGAGGAGCAGAGGCTGGTGAAGACTGGGTCTTAGTAACCTCTGAGAGGAGATTGGGAGAAATATGGGCTTATGACCAAGGTGAGAAGCAGCAGTTAAAACTGTGCCTGTGGCTTAGCCCTTTCCTGTACTTAAGGTGTTAAGGACCCTAGATCTGACTTAATGTGTAGGAAAAAATCATTAGAGATTAATATATATTATAAATCCCTTATAAATAGAAAAATGCTTTTAAAAACTTCTACAAGCCCTGGCTGGTGTAGCTCAGTGGATTGAGCATGGGCCTGTGGACCAAACAACCACAGTTCGATTCCCAGTCAGGGCACGTGCCTGGGTTGCTGGCCAGTTCCCAGGAGGGGACGCACGAGAGGCAACCATACATTGATATTTCTCGCCCCCTCTCTTTCCCTTCCCTTCTAAAGATAAATAAATAAAATCTTTTAAAACATTAAAAAAATAAAAACTTCTACAGAAATGTGCGTTCATTATTAATCTCTACAAATTATCTACCCCTTTCTTCTAGCCAAGTTGCCCACTAGCACAAGGCGGAGCTGGTGGGAAGGCCACATGCCTGGTGGGAACCGCTCAGAATGGTGACTTGGCTCCCAGTCTCTCCGTCTGTCCAGGAGTCACAGGCTGACGTTTTGATGACCTAACATGGATTCACAGTAGCTTCAAGTACATAGTAAGTTTCTAATAAATGCAGGCTGTTAGGGTAGCTTTTTTTCTCTCCTAGAGTTAAAATATGCAGCTAGATGTCTCCCAATGTTCATTTGATCATTGTCATGTAAGCAATGGCCCAGTGTAGTTTTTAAGACAGTGGTTTCCTTTCCCAACAGAAGAGTTAAGAATGACTTTAGGGGTCCTCTGGGAGTGGGGGATCGTGTAGAAAAGGCTTTCAAAGGAGAGCAAGACAAAGCCTGTTACTCTGTGGCTTCACCCTGTACAGCAGAGGAAAGGCAGGGCTTACAACTTAACACTTCCAGATCTTTCTCCTGGGAGAAAGAAATTATGGTGGGAAGACAGACAGATAGTACTTACAAAAGTGAAAACTAAGAGTAACCAAAGGAAATGTCTGTGCATGGCAGACTGAAGAATGAATATGCCTATTCTCCTTTGTCATCCTGACCTTACACACCCCTTACATTTGTACCCTGACATCATCACTCATGATATGGTTGTGCAACTGCTGTTCATACTCATACTGTGGAGAGAGATTCCATAGGTTCACTTTTGAATTCTTCTGCCTTTTGTCATTCCCATGTAATATAATCCTTACAAACTAAAATTTTAAGTAAGCATCTGAGAAAACTGTGTGTCTAATTTGCCATAAATAATTTACCAGCCAAGAAAACAAAATTCAGGACCAAGAGAGGAAGATGTATAAAGTTAATGAGAGTTTCACTTCCAAGAGAAACTGATTGCAGTCTCAAAGTCAGAAAGGTGTGAAAGGATCTAGTGGTTAAAGCATTCCTGCCATTTCTTGCCCATTGTACATATATCTTCTTCCTTCATTCCCACTATTTCGGCACTTTTTCAGCAAATAGAGTTTTCTGCTCTCAGTCCTGCTCTTTCCCTGGAGGGGAAGTCATCTCTTGTTACAGAGGAACAAAAGATGACAGGCAGAGGAAATTCAGAGTGCTGTGGCTTTCTCTGTGAACAAGCACATTTAGAAATGGAGGAATAGGCATTTTTTTAATGTATTCTTCCTCAGTCTGCATAAGGTTCCTTATCGGAAAGTGGGGATCATAGTAGTAACTATTATATCTCTGAAAGAGTCAGCCATTAAACTATTCCTACTTCCCCATGAAGAAGAAGCATTTGATTTCTGCTGAACTCTCTTTCCTTCTCTACTCCCCCAAAAGAGAACACTTTCTGGAGAGGGACGATGACCACCTCTAGGGACGGCTGGTGACAGCACAAGTTTCTACATAGTTGGCAGTGGCCAAAACTACTGATCTGAACAGGCAACAAAAACTCCTGGCGTTTGAGATGTTACTTATGCCGTTGGTGGTCAGATGCTCTGTGGATCTCAAACATAGTCTTTGGGAGAGGAATAAAAAACACAATCATGGAAAAGCAGGGGACCTTGGCAATTTCACAGCAACTCACATTAAAGAATTCCCAGAGATGAAAGCCACCAAGTAAACCACCACTCCAAAATGTCTTGTAAAAACAGCAGTTGGTTTAAGAAATATTTAATCCAACATTCTACTAAAATGTATGTGGTATTTCCTGTTTCTGGAAAATCAGAGGAAAATTAAGGTCTGTTTGAAAGAAAGCACGCAGAGCCAGATGTTGGCGTTGGTAATGGTCTCCAGAGCCTAGTGCTCCTTTGGTGGCGGTTGGGGCCATGCAGGGCAGCTGTCTGAAGCCACGGTGGCCTAATTTCTCTTGGCTGGAAAAGAAACGAAGTGTAGAGGCTATTTTGTTTACATATGCAAGGGGACACCTGAGCCCAAGGGACATTATTTTGGTGTGTAGAGCCAGTAACAGCAATTAGAAATATGGCCTATATTCCTTTGACATACTTTGTCCAGATCACGTGTTCACAGAATTTACAGTATCCAGCCAACTATAGTACCATTCTAAAGGTTTTTTGGTTTGTTTTTTTTAACAAAATATTTGATTATAACATTTTTAAACCAGTTATAGACAATGTGAAAGTAGTTTGCTTTGTCTATGTTAATTTGAATTTTTTTCTGAAAACACGTGATTGGACCTTTTAATTAAAGGAGACTTAGGTAATTGAGAGTGATTATTACTTGCCTTATGTTACCGCACTCTGAATCTCCTTCTTTGACCAAAATGGTTTGCTTTTCATTGCTCCATTATCCTTTGTACTTTCTTAATTTTGTATTTCACTGTCATTTTCTAACTCAAGTTCTCCTTTCTCATCTCTATCCTTCAAATACCAGCCATACTTTAATGCCTAAGTCATACCTCACCAGGTTCATGAATTGACCTTGATGGTCCTGGCTCCCCCATTGGAACAGTCTTTCCTCCTGAGGCTTTTGTAATGCCTACAGTCCATATAGTTCACCTGACACTGCTCCTAAACTGTCTCTGGTTCCTGGTGTAGACCTTCAAACACCCTTGCGATTTCTTGAGTGATAGCAGTGTCTCATGATATTCATAACAAATGAGTTTGGGCCATCTCTGAGTTTATGCTAATTTGATGTGGAAAGGAGTCAATCAGCCATGTGAGTAGAAGGTTGGAGCTTTCAGCCCCACCCCCTGACATCTACAGCAGGGAAGGGGAGGGGACTAGAGACTGAGTTCAATCATGGGACCAATGATTTAATCAACTATGCCCACTTAATGAAGCCCCAATAACCCAGGACACCAAGGCTTGGGGAGCTTCCTGGTTGGTGAACATATCGGTGTACGGGGTGGGTGGTATGTCTGACTCCACAGGGATGAAAGCTCCTGCACGCAGCCCTCTTCCAGACCTCACATTATGGACATATTCATGTGGCTCCTTTGTGCCCTTTACATCAAACGGTAACTATAAGCATAGCACTTTCCTGAGTTCTGTGAGTCATTCTAGTGAATTAGTGAATCTGGATGATGGTCTTGGGAGACTCCGAATTTGTAACCAAGACAGACAGAAGTACATGAAGTCTGGGGATACCACTTGCAGCTGGCATATGATGTCAGGGCAGTCTTTCATGACCTTGCCCTTTAACTTGTGGGATCTGACCCTAACTCCAGCTAGTATCAGAATTGAATTGAATTGTAGGATACCTAGTTGGTGTCAGCAAGTTGGAGAACACATCATAGTGAATTTAAGAATACACATTTTTGTGTTGTTTCATTTATAGTGTTGTTAGCATAAAACAGAAATGACATACTGTCTCAAAATGAAGATGAGAGCAATTATAATAGATGATTGTATGTTGATTGATGGGCAGTGAAGTAATCAACAGATTTTAGTATGTGCATCCCATCTCTCCAGGTGGGCTATAGACTTGGGAGCCAATTCCACATTTTCTATATCTTTGTGTCTCAATCCATGCCTAGTGAATTGTCTTAAAAATCCTAAGTACTAATGACCTGCTTTATGGTCAATATGATAATGTACAAATAACTACTTATTTATGGTAGCACGCACTTTGCATTTCATGCCTATTTGACAGTTTTATACTCCTTTTTGTCTCCTTATTTCACAAGAAGGAAAAGATAAGCCATAGATAAGCATCTTTCCCAGGGCCTCAGAGCAAGTTAGTATCAGACCTGAAATTAGTCCATCTCACCTAGGTTTCTAAGCCTGTTACTTAACTTACAACATCCTGCTTAAGTAATAGGATCTGCTGATCCTTTCCAGTTCTAACCATTATATGGATGTTGAGAGACTGTAATGTAGCCATTGAAATTCAGAATCAGGTTCTATTATGCATGGCGTGTGTGTCATACATCTTAGAACTGTGCATTTACTATATGCTTTTACTACCAATTAAACCCGGTGTCTTCGTGACAGTTAAATTAAGTTCATGAATCATTTGTACTGATAAGAAAAGTTAGGAATTTAACAACTAAAATATACACTCCTAAAAAGGGTAAGAAATGGACCTCAAATATTGGCAAAAATAGAAATAAGAAACATTTAAAAAGATAAATCTCAAGAATATAAAAGTAACTGTGACTTATTCAGCAAGTTAAAACTTAATTATCCCTTCTGGGTCGTAGCTGGACTCACTCTTTGAGTCTTCTCCATAGAATAAAACAGAATTTAAACAGTAACTTTGCAGCTCCAGGAGTTTCTAATGACTGTGGGGAACACCAGCCAACAATCTGTTTCAGATGAGAGAACAGATAGAGAAACCTTGTTTCATTTTATCTAATTTAATGTTACTCTTCAGAAGTAATTGCTTGCTTTACTAACACACTGACTTTTACTTTATTACTAACTAAATACCTGAAAATGACAGCAAATGGAGTTAGAGAAGTCATTACTGTAACATCCTATTTGCCAACATGCAGTCATGCCCATTAAGAGCTTTAATTTTCCCTCAAATGTGTGGTAGGAAACTTCCCACTTTATTTAGTCCTATGCTGAGTACATAACAAACCCAATGATAAACTTGCCTTGATAGGCTGATTCTCAACACATTTCCCCCAGGAACTTTATCTACATGGCAAATGCTGACACAAATGATGGTTTCCTGGAGATTTGACTTCAGATACTACTTGTGACACTTCCTCAGGGAGAGAACAGGTGACTTCAGTGGCCATTTAGCAGTTAAGAGAAAGGTCTATGGTCCTTCCTTTCCAGGAGACTCCTGGATAGAGGTTTTGCACCTGACCCTGGTTGTCTGTTTCATGCAGGCTTTTGTATGTACCTGTATATACTCTTCACTGGGAGACACCTGGGTGGTATGACTTTTCAACAGAAGTCTTCAGAGGTGGCCTCATGACAGTTATTTTAACATTATTTAATTCTAGGGAGGTTAGATTGGTTCTCATTTGAGATCCACTTATAGTAAATCCAAACTTTCAGAATTTCAGAGCAGTGTCTGAGTAACTAGACTTTTCCGAATTAGGGATCTGCTGCAGGCCCAGCTCCTGGCCCTGGCCAGAGAGTCTATACCTGCTACAGTAGGGACCTCAAACCAGCTTTTCTGTTTTGTAGGACACAGGGCTGATTATGGGATTTAACTCCCTGCACAGTGGTCAGCAGAGTGGGCTCAGGAAGAATGTCCCCAGATTTATATCCCTCCACTGCCAGGTACTAGAAATTGGGCAAATTACTTAAATTCTCTTTCTGTCTCATTTGCAGAATGTAGCAACTGCTTATCTTAGTTAATATTTAATAATAAGGTGAATAAAGCTTGTGGTTTTTAAACATTTAGTATAGTTGCTAGAAAGTAGAAAGTGTTCAAATAACAACCAATGTAAATAGTGCTTACTCATTGTGTTTTATGTAGGTGACTCCTCTAATTTTCACAAAGGCAGTGTGAGATCCTGCATTCCCATTTTACAGAAGGAACTGAGGCACATACAGGCCAAGTAATTTGCCCAAGGTCACATAGCTAGCTAGTCAGCAGCAGATTACCTCTACACATTGTGTGCCAGGCCAAGTTGCCCCAGAGTCCACGCCTACTGCTACTTCCATAAACTTATGTGAAGTTTCATTGTTGTTTTCTTTCCTGTAAGTCTTTCCAACTCTGTGACACAGACATGACATTTGTTCCCTCAGGTCGTGTGTCCCAGGACAAGCAGCAGCTGGCTCCTCCTGTTGCTAAAGCACCACAATCCATGACAAGCTACTTGTCACTTCAGGGTTCCCTAGGTGATAAGGAAATGGCAGCAGGAAAAGCTAAAAGGCCACATCTGAGGATTGGATTCTCTTCACTATGTAAACTTGAAGATCTTCTCAGGGCCTCAATCTCCTAAATTATAAAATGACAGATTCAAACTGAAATATTTCTATGCATTTCCATACCTAGAATTTTATAAGTCTATTTACTTGAACTTAAATATTTACTATGTGTTCTTTGCTATGGATAGAAAAATAATTGAATATAGAGAAGCTATGTTTCCAGCCACAAGTAACTTTTATGTAGCATGATAGACACCTTTGTAAGCAGCCCAGATCAAGACAGGCTGTGTGAGTTGGAAAGACTTGGGTTCAAATACAATTTTCCTTTTCTATCTATGTACCACCTTAAACAAATTGTCTACCTAAATGTTAATTTTCTCATTTGTAAAATGAGGTTGATAATACTTTTTTAATAAGATATGGATCATTGCTGATACTCAAATGTTATTAAAAGTATTCAGCAAATGCTTTGAATAAATTCACTATTAAAAAAAAAGAATACAGGGATGCCAGCAGGAAAAATGTAGCACATGGTGAAAATTTTAAAAGTGTGTATGGAATCATGGAGTACTTTAATTTCCATGTGCTATTTTCAAAATCAACTGAGAGGTTTTATTCCAAAACGCACTGTGCAGTGGTTAAGAATTTCACATTTACCGCCAAGATGGAGACGTAGGTGGAGGAACCACCTTGCCTCTGTGCACAACCAAATCTAAGAACAACTATTTTTCACAACAATCACAACCAAGCCACATGGAAAATCGAAAATACAGAGTCCAAAGACAACTAAATACTCAGCTAAACCGGTAAGAGAAGCGAAACCAGCAGCGGAGCAGGTTGGCAAGAAAAAATCCCCGAACAGGTGGTGTGCGGCGCTGATCGTGGGCTAGCTACCGGAGCACACAGGGAAGAGGCGCAGGGGGCTGTCTCGGTCGGTCGAGCATCTGCATGCGGAGAAACCAGTGAGAAGGGAAGCCTGCGCGGGGCAGCAGGCTCGCACAATTCCGATCGGATAAACAAGCCCAGGACGAGTAGTGTGACTGGACGGGCTGGGCTAGCGGAGAGGACTGCCATTGCTCCCTCTCTGACCACGCCCCCACACACAGCGTCACAAACCAGTGACCTGGGTCGCCCCGTCCTGGTAAACAACTAAGGCTTCGCTCCGATTACTTAACGGCACGAATAGACCAAAAATGGCTCTAGGACAACTCAGAGCCCCAGAACCCATAGATCTAAGCGATGAAGAAATAGCCAGTCTTTCAGATGCACAGTTCAAAACACTGGTTATCAGGATCCTTACAGAACTGGTTGATTTTAGTCACAAATTAGAGAAACATATGGAAGCTAAACTAATCGAAATGAATGGTAATACAAAGGAAACCAATAGTAATGGAAAGAAAATTGGGACTCAAATCAAGGGAGTGGACCACAAGGAAGGAAAAAATGATCAAACAGAAAAGAATGAAGAAATAAGAATTCAGAAAAATTAGGAAAAGCTTAGGAACCTCCAGGACATCTTTAAACGTTCCAACATCCGAATTATAGGGGTACCAGAAGGGGGAAAGGCACAGCCACCAGTGGAAAACTTATTTGAACAAATAATAAAGGAAAATTTCCCCAAACTGGCAAAGGAAATAGACTTCCAGGAAATCCAGGAAGCTCAGAGAGTCCCAAAGAAGTTGGACCCAAGAAGGAACACACCAAGGCACATCATCATTACATTAGCCAAGATTAAAATGAAGGAGAGAATCCTAGAAGCAGCAAGAGCTAAGGGAACAGTCACCTACAAAGGAGTTCCCATCAGACTGTCAGCTGATTTCTCAAAAGAGACCTTACAGGCAAGAAGGGGCTGGAAAGAGGTATTCCAAGTCATGAAAACCAAAGACCTACAACCAAGACTGCTCTATCCAGCAAAGTTTTCATTTAGAATGGAAGGACAGATAAAGTGCTTCTCAGATAAGACCAAATTCAAGGAGTTCATCAGCACCAAGCCCTTATTATATGAAATGTTAAAGGGACTTACCTAAGAAAAAGAAGATAAAAAAGATGAACAGTGAAAGGACAGCAAACTCACAGTTACTAACAACCACACCTAAAACAAAAGCAAACTAAGAGGACAGCTAGATCAGGAGCAGAACCATAGAAATGAAGATCTCATGGAGGGTTAGCAACAGGGGAGTGGGAGGAGGAGAAGGGGGGAGAAGGTACAGAAAATAAGTAGCATAGACAGTAGATAGAAAATAGATGGGGGGAGGGTAAGATTAGTAGGGGAAATACAGAATCTAAAGAATTTGAGACACATGTTCATGAACTAAAGGGGGAAATGGTGAGGGAGGGGCATGCAGGGTGGAGGGGAATGGAGGGGGGAATAGAGCAAATGTAATGGCATAATCAATAAAAAAATTTAAAAAATTAAAAAAAAAGAATTTCACATTTAGACCCCTGACATAACTTTACAGTGAAGGTCTCTTCTAGTTCAGTATATTCCCAGAAACACCCTCACCCGTGCTTCAGGGGATGTTTGTGCTCATGTGGGTGTGTATCCTATGTGGAGGCAGGCAGTGGACACACAGGTTGTTGCTGCGTCAAAACCTAAATCCCCATAAAAGGCAGCAACATGTGCATAAGCCAAAAAATGTGTTTTTCAGTAGTGAGCAGCCTGGGGTGGGATGAGGATGGGGGCTCTTCTGTCGCATTCTTGACATTTCTTCCATGTGGAAGCAGTTCCACCCAGGGAGGTAGCATGCCTTACCTGACTGGTGAGGGAGGCTGGACAGCCTGTCCTGCTGTTCTCTGTTAGATGTGAGCTGCCAGTAGGCAGTGAGGGCTTGTCCTCTGGTGTTTGTGTTGCACAGACTGATCTGCCCTCGAAGAGGGAGATGCCAGGACCCTCGACCCCCGTAGCAGAGAGAGGGAGCCTCTAATCCCAGAGTGGGGGATTCTGCTGTATTGAGATGCCTACTTGCCCATATATGTGTTAAGTCACATCCTCTAGTAACATCTTTTTCAGTAATGACTGTTCTGTGTGGCCTCCATCCCCCTAACTTCTCTATGCCTTAATTTATCTGGAACGAGGCAGGGGGAAAGGAGTTAGTTATTGAGTATCCCTCGTCTTCAACTTTGAAGAAGTGGTTGACCCTACTGCAGGGGCCTCTGGTTTCCTACTCATAGATGGGTTTCTGCTGACTCACCCACATTACCTTCCTTGACCACCATTCTCTCTGATGGTGCCATGTAGTTTTCAGGGTGACTGTGGACTAACACAACTAATTCCCACATAAACTTTGAATGCTCTAAAGCTCGGTCAGTGACTGGGAGGAGTTTAATTTAATAATCATTTCATCCTCTGCATGTGAAATAAACTATAAAGAGCTGTCAATGAATACTCTCATAATTACAAACATATAATTTTAATATATTACTTTGATACTAAAAGTACTTATTACATTACTATCAGACATCTGATAAGAATAAAATATATATTACGATGAAACACATGTCTAGGCAACATGAGAAGCCTGCTATTTAATCAATTTATAAATTAAAAAAAAAAGGAAATGGGGTCAGCTGCTCCAAGACAAAGAAGTATAGCTCACATGAGAGAACAGAGCAAAGCCTCAGAAAGAGAATTAAGCAATGAGGAGATCACCAGCCTGTCTGATGGAGAATTTAAAGACCCGGTAATCAAAATGCTCACAGAACTGACTGAGCTTGGTCAAAAAAATGAAAGAACAAGCAAAAGATACCCAAAATGAAATAAAGCAAAATATTCAGAAAGCCAACAGTGACAAGAAGGAAACCAGGATTCAAAGTAATGATTTGGAGCAAAAGGAAGAAATGAACATCCAACTGGATCAGAACAAAAAGAGGAGAATAAAAAAAAAGTGAAGAGAGGACGAGGATTCTCTGGGACAACCTGAAATGTTCCAATATTTGAATTATAAGGGTTCCAACAGGAGAACAGGAGCAAGAAACTGAAAACTTATTTGAACAAATAATGAAGGAGAACTTCCCCAATTTGGTGAAGGAAATAGACTTCCAGGAAGTCCAGGAAGCCCAGAGTCCCAAAGAAGTTGGACCCAAAAAGGAACACACCAAGACACATCATCAAGTTACCCAATTCTAAAGACAAAGAGAAAATCCTAAAAGCAGCAAAAGATAAGGAGACAGTTACCTACAAAGGAATTCTCTTTGTAGGTAAGACTCTCAACTGATTTCTCAAAAGTAAACCTTACAGGCAAGAAGGGGCTGGAAAGAAATATTTAAAGTCATGAAAGACAAGGAACTACATCCAAGATTGCTATATCCAGCAAAGATTTCACTTAGAATGGAAAGGCAGATAAAGTGCTTCTCAGATAAAGTCAAGTTCAAGGAGTTCATCATCACCAAGCCCTTATTATATGAAATGTTAAAGGGACTTACCTAAGAAAAAGAAGATAAAAAATGTGAACAGTAAAATGACAACAAACTCACAACTATCAACAAATGAACGTAAAAGAAAAGAAAAACAATGAAAACAAAAACTAAGCTAACAACCTGATCAGGAACAGAATCAGAGAAATGAACATCACAAAGAGGGAGTTCAGTGGGGAAAGGGAAGGGAGGAATAGGAGGGAAAGCTACAAGGAAGAAGAAGCATAATTAGTAGGCATAAAATAGATGGGGAGAGATAAAAATGGTATAAAAAACAGAGGACTTGAAGAACTTATATGTATAGCCCATGGTCATGAAATAAGGGGGGGGGGAAGCTGGAGGGTTCGGGGGACAGGGTGGAGGGGGGATAAAGGAGGAAAAATTGGGAAAACTGTAATAGCATAATCAATAAAAATTACTTAAAAAATGAAACAAAGATGAAGAAAGGTATAACAGGGCTAAATGGTAATGGGAAAAATACAATAAAAATTGTTTAAAAAAAAGAAGAAAAGGAAATGGAAGGAGATTGAGTTCCCGTGCACACTGCCCACGTTAGTCAAACTGGATGCAGGTGGTGGGTTCCTAAATGTCCTAGTTATGCCCTGGCTCTAGTGTGCTACCTGAACCTCGTATAGTGCAGGTCACACAGTGACTGCTTAAATTTAGGGTCCCCACAGTAATGTCCCTGTTCAGCTCAATTCAGCATGCATTTATTTGACTTAAACTTTATATATGCCAAATAAAGCATTATTTGGGAAAAAGAGTAAGGAACCAGAAAATATGGACCTACTCTCATGGAGAACAATGAAAGGAACCCAATTATATTTGTTAGTTAGCAAAGAAATCGTTTCTAAAAATAAAAACTTTATTATTTAAATACACATACATACACTCTGATAATAGATATATAGAATATATGCACACATACACTGTGTATATGTATTATATGTAATACATAACATGTATATAACACATATGTGTACATATATGTTATAATATGCGGGTATAATACACACATATATGTACACTCTCATATTTATTGTTTTGTTTCTTGTAACAAGAAAAAAACCCTGAATGTCCATCAATAGGAGATAGTAAATTATTGTCCTTCCATTCTATGGACTATTATGCAGTTATTTGATAGAATGAGGTAGATCTATATGGGAATAAATCAGAAATTAATAATACATTGTTATAAAAGTTAGTTATATGTACCACTCTTTTTCTAAAAACAATAGTGGCCATGGTATTTGTATGTATTCTGTATGTGTTGGTTTAGCAAAGGAACAAGTAAGGAAGGCCATACCAAATTTTTAACAGTGGTTTACATCAGTTAGGCAAATCTTCAAATTGTAATGCAGAGAAATAGTACCTTTAATTAAAAGCATTGAAACAAAGGCTTTCCTGGTGAAAAATACATAATGTTAAGGAGAAAAATATAGACTTCATCTCAACTAAGAAAAATAAACAGGAGTATTATGGATATGAAAGTTTCAGGATATTAACATTATTTGCCTCAGGATAAAATAATGATCATTATAAGTGAATTTTTTTCTCTTCCTCTAGACACTCTTATGTACTTTCTTTCCTTTCTACAGAGGCATGCATTAATGCAACAGTCAGGAAAAATGAAACATAAAGAACATGTTTGTGCTCTTTGACTTATTAATTTCACTCCTAGGTTTCTTTTAAAAAACAGAACATAGCAGAGGAATCCAAGTGAAATAATTTCCTTTAAAGTAATTATAATGTGAGTCTTCTGCCATTATTCCAGAAAGAATAATTTGAAACAGCTTTTGGAACATGTTTGGGATTTTCCTGTGCATTCAGAATCATTAGAATAGTGTACCCACTCCACTTACGCAGAACATACCTTTGAGCTTATCTCGATGTGCTAGACACATCCCAGTCATTCTGAGTGAGACCCACTCTACGTTAATCTGTGCTATCTTGATGTAAATTCATAGAAAACACTACATCTCTCAGAATTTCACAAGACTTTCCCCTCTAGCTATTAACCACTTAAAAAGAGGCATGCTCTAAAGCCAATCCAAAAATAACAAGTAGAATATTTCTTATGTGGAAACTTATATTCTGGAAACTGAGGAGCTTAAAGCTTAAATAATTGCTTACATGTGGTACGAGAGTAACATAGACAGTTCATTTGACAGGCATTACTGACTGCTCACAACGGTTCACGGTCTCATCTTTGGAATGAGCAGCAGCAGACTTGAACAGAAATTACACCAGGTATGGGTGATGGTTGCCCAGACCACTGTGAGGCACAAAGCAGAGTATCAGGGAGCAAGAATGGAAAGAGGGAGCTGGAAGGCTTAGTTCCTATCTGGAAAAGTCTGTGCTGTTAAAAACTGGACATGCAGCAGGAAGTCCTGGGATCCAGTGCTATCACCTTCAAGTTTTCAAACTTAAACATGTCAGTTAACCTCTGAGCACTGAATCTCTGATTGATCTATACTGAATTGAGGAAAAAAAAATAAAAATATGCAAACAATAAAAAATAAGTGTTTTACAAAGTTATTCTGAGGATTAGAGGAGATAATGCAAAAGTATATTTTAAAAAGTGTGAAGTTGAACACATAAGTTAGGTATGAAATGATCAAAGCCATGTTTATATACTTTGGGACCGATAGTACAATGTCTTCCTGTTGGTCATCACCCATTAAATATTTATTAAATTTATTTGTGAGGCAGGAACATAGATTTACAATGAAATGATGTATTAGTTTTGGCAGTTT